AATTCAAGTTGCTTTCTTTTGAGGCTTCTTTCTTTTTCAAGGAATGCCCAAACCCAACAAACTATGAAGTTCTCCCTTACAAAAGTCAAAGACTGAATGTATGTTAAGTTGAGTTTAGCAAAAGTCACAGGAAAAGATGTACAGACCTATAGTTTTAGTTGTTTTTTAAAAAAAAACAACAAAACACTCATCCTGTTCAATAATGAAACTTTCACTAACTCAGAGTCACACCAATTTGTCTCCTTGAATACACAATCCTAATATCTCTCAAAAGCCAAAGCTTTCTTTTGCTTTATCAGATTACAAACATCAAAAGCGTTATCAGGAAAACAGACTAGAACATGAACTGTCCTTCTCTAGGGTCCAGTAGTTTTCTTAACAAATAACTTCTTTTCAAAAGACAGATTTCTTTGTCATCTTGCTCAGTATTAGAGACACAGCTACTTCTTATTTAGAGACTAATTCTTCTGAGTCACTAGAGATCCACTCTTATTATGCTTTGATTTCAGCATTCATACCCAAAACAGTTAAACAAAAATAATCCTTTTCACAGTCCTTACTAACCATTTAAATATGCCATTAAAATAGTATTTCTTATCCCACTATTTGCTAGCCAGTCCCATTCTAGAAATTCCAGGGCCAGCAGAAACTTTAATAATGAAACTTAGTCCCCTTTACTGCAATCTCATAAGACTTCAGTCAACTTCTATTTGCTGAAGAGTAGCCTTAGTCACTCCCTAACACAACAGATGTGACACAGAGAACACCACTTGCATGCACACATATATTGCTACTTAAAGTTACCTCTGCCTTATGTCTCTTTATGAAGCTCTTCCCCCAAAAAGCATACCAAATATTTACCTTAATATATAGCTTAATACCCTTACACTTTGCACTCCCCATGCCTTTGATTTCCCATGTTGTCTAACCTTCCCACTACAATTAGTTTCCTAGATAAACGATAGCTGAATTCTTTTTTAAGTTTACCCCAAACTCCTGCACATTTTCCTTTTGCCATCCCTTATAACACAAGGTCTGTTCCAGTACTTCTGGCATCAACCTGTCACTTCCTCTATTAGACGAAATGCAGCTTAAATTCTACAGATGCTACTTAAAAATTTTGGTTTGTATTTTTGTACAGCACAGAATTCCATAAAACAGATAATAATAAATATCTAAGTGCTCTAGACAAAGGAGACTAGAGCTGCTTCAAGAAACGATTATCCTATTTCTCACGTCAAATAACAGGGGTTTTGTTTTCTCAGTTCTCACAAAATGTCTACTTCCCCTGCAAAACAACTACTGCCTCTATAGATGCACATTGTCATAGAATGTTTACAGTTACATATGGAAATGAGAGAAGATTCATATTTGCACAGTTCCAGTCAAACATGAGTCTTATGCCTCTTTAATAAGAACAGAAGTAGATGCGCAATGAATAAGTTATTGAAATTCATGCTAATAAACAAACCCTTAGCTTACCCGCCTATCAGTATCTGGGGCTTATTTGAATCACTTGTGACACCAAAGACATCAGGAATCAAGTCTCCATTAAAGCTGGAAACACAAAATTTCAATATTACCTTAGTTATTACAGGAGTTGAAATTAACTGTTCGTAAGTTCACCTGTATTTGGTTAACATTTGCCCACCAAGCAATGAAGAATTTTCAGCTTGTGTAGTCTTTTCTGAATTTTGGCTCTTCACCGAGTCGTGAGTAGCAGTACACTTCTTTCAATATTTTACAGTATGCCATGCATTTGATTTTGCAGCTATATTCCCTCCCCCCCCGTTTTGTTCAGCATTTCACACAAAGGAAAGTGCACTGCAAAAGGGATATTTGCTCAGCCTCATCAGCCAGTAAGGTTTTTGTTTTACAAAATTCACCAAAAAATGAATGGCTGTTTTTCTGCATAAAACAGAGTACTGAAATTAAATAAATAGAAGCTTTTTAGTTGCTATTGCCAGGATGATACAATATACAAGATTTGTAAAGATGACTGTTATGTTTCATCATCTTGTTAGACCAGTTGATATTACACAAACCGCCCTGTTCTTAAAACATAGAGCACGTGTTTCAAATTTTAGCATTAAAGTGTAATTGCTCTTAGTCACCATTTTAAATGTTGTTTTCCAAAAGAAGTAGGTCATACTTACTCCATTACTAGAGGCTCATCATGAAAAGTCTTATTTAACATAGTTTTATGGTTAAGATCTGAAAACAGAAAATATTTATTTGATTCAGTTACAAATATGTTATGACATCTACATTAACTTCGACGTAGTTCTATTGATATACAACCATCAATTTTATGATTAAAAAAAAATAATCAGCCACCACTGAGCATAAAAAACCAAATTGCTTCCTGGAATTATGCAGGGAAGGTGAGTTACAGTTAAAATGCTGAAGCTGATTCTCTCTCCCCTAGACTCTTCAACAAATTATTCTAAATAGACCTTAGCAAAACCTATTTCCATGTATGACTACAATCATATAGACACACGACACCTGAAATAGTTGGGATGAAGACAGTCTAAAAATTTAACATTGTACCTAAGACCTCTGTTTAATGTTTTCTCGCTGTAAAAAACATTCTTAATCATATACACTGAGTCGTTGAAATAAAGATTAGAGGTAGGCTGCCTAAATGGGAAGTATGGACTATGCCCTAATCAGATTATCACCTCTCACACTTTTACTTGTAATCCAAACTCCTTGCCACATCGTCCCCGTTTCCTTCCTCTCTCCCCAATGTTTGTCTTCTTTCCTGTTTCCACATTCTATGTGACAGTGCTCTCCTATTGACTTGTCACACTTCCATTACCCAAGTAGGCACCACATACCTTCCCAATAGCCTCACTACATACCAACCATTGCCTGAATTTTTAACCTCTGACTTGTTCTGTAAGCCCCATATGCTCATTTGTGCCGCTCCCAAGATTTGTTTATTCAGAAGCAAGACAGCATAAATTAATCCAAACCCTTCGTGTTTTTCCCAATACTGCAGATACCTCCTATTCCCTCAATACTTGATCCAGTGCACTTTCCCAGGTTGCTTGTTTCACCTCTGATTAAAGCCAGAAGCAATGGTATCTAAGATCATTGCTTGCCTCACCTGTGACTATTTTATAACACAGTTGTTTATAATAGTGATTATTCTTCAGCAGTTTTTCTGGACTTAAGAGCATCTTCTTTTGCTTTTCTGTCCTTGCTCAAACCCCAAACTCTTCCCCTTTTCTAGGAAAGTCAACAGAAAACAGAGTAGACTTCAAGATGTCACATAGTCCACGACTCTACCCTAAGACAGAATCAAAATACTGACAACACTGCTAAAAGATTCTTGAAAACTTCCAATGATAGAGACTCTAGAAACTTATTTCCCAAAACCTACTTCAGTGTATCACTGTCTTTAAAGAATTTGGTGTAACAGGAATAAGGGTGTTATACTACTGTTGGTAAGTTTAGGTATGATACTTTGAAAGTTTATGTACTAGACTTTATACCAGGTTCTCAGTGCATTTTAAATTCGAGGTAAATCTTTTGAGATAATCTTTGTGAAAGCTGACATACATAAACGGGGAAGCCAGGAGAAGCAGATCTACAGTTAGTACGTTACCGTCAAACTGTAATATTGTTTGGTTATGTCTGTTGCATGATATTAAGCAAGAGTTTTAGCTTTGTTCTTTCATTAGATATTGAGTACAGTTTAACAGCAAGATAGTATACAGGTATGAAGCTGAATAGCTGCTAATTCCTATTCTAGTTGTAAAAACAGTCACTACATTGTAAAATGGGTTATAACTTTCTGACAATACTTTTAATTATTAAAAAGTCTCACAGTCTTACTAATAAGCAGTCTCAGCAACTCACCTAATGTTTGGTTGTGCCCCCAAAAAATAAACACTGAGAGTTCATCTCCGCCATGACTTTGTGCTCGGGTAGTCAGGAGGACATCCATTTGTGAATCACCATCATAATCTCCAGGAACTACACTGGTTATGGTAACACTGAGAGATCTAGAATTAAAAACAAACAACAACTACCACATGCAAACAACTGTACAAATGTATGCAAGAAAACTGAAAGTATTTGTGTGTTCAAAGGCTTGGCTTTTGGTCCCAACTGTTATTAGTTGGTCCAGTACAACTTTTTCCTTCAACAACCTGGGTGGGTTTTTTTTAAAGTCCCTACGGATTGCAAAAGTAACTTCAAATCAAGCATTCTGCAATCTGTCTTGCTCCAAGAAAGGATGACATTTTTAACTCTAAACTTCAGCTAACAGGCATTTTTCAGCCATACCCTGTTTGTTAATGCTATCTAGATTTCATTAAATCCCTTCATTTGTTGCAGAGCCAGTTCTCAAAAGATGCATTTCCGAGAATAGGATCTTTGGTTGCATTCGAAGGGCAAGACCACAAAGCAACAGGAGCAGTTTAAGCAGCTGGAGTCAGATAGCTAAATCTTAAAGACAATGTCATCTCCTCCCATCTTCTGCCACGTCTTACCACTCCTCCCACATTTGTTTGTTTTTTCTATCTTTTTTTACTTGGTTACCTACTCAGAGACTCTGCTTTACACACACAAACACGGATCATTCTGTTAAGAATTAAAAGCAGACACTTTCCAATGCACTAAACAAATTCGCTCCTTCCAAGATAGGAGGGAATAAGGAAAAATACATAGAATAATAGAAGATGAAGCTGAGCTATAACGGCAATTTAACTTTTAATAGACATAATACTATCAGTCAGCATTCTTTGTAAGCAATAACATATCCTGCAATACTACTATGCTTAAAACTGTACACATATATGTACATAAACATACAGCTTGTTTTACATGTATTAAAAAATGATGCTTTTTTTTTAAAGCCACATTTAAACTTTAGAAAGGAACAGATCTCTGTATAGAAATACCAGAACACCATTCTTCGTATCTCTTTCTAAAGCAGATGATATTGGCTGGATTCCATTAGTAACTACAGCAACTGGAAGCATTCCCTGAAACATGTCTTGGGACAGAGACAAATACTACCTACCAAAAAGACTTGACCTGTGATATGGAATGATAGTTTGCTTTACTAGGAAATAAAGTCCTGAGACACTAAGTCAACCGCAAAAATATGCCAAGATACGGGCATTTTTAATAGTAATTAGAGGACAAAAACCCCAAAGCCTAGAAATTCCATAAGGGGGTGGGAAGTCACACCTATAGTTAACAACGCGAATGACAACACTCCTCTCCACAAATTCTGTCATCCAACTCACAAAATCCAAACAAATCAAAACAAAAACATATCAGGAAATTAATCAGGAAACTGGTCGAAGAACTGGAGCTCTACGGGCAAGTTAGCAACACAGTCAGACAGACAGCAACAGCACCGACAATTCTAGTCATGTTCCCACTGACTGCAGAGATGCACTTTCAAGAAAAACGGCCACTTGCATCGTTTCACCACTTACATCAATACTTACTTCATTGGTAACTTAACACGGGGCTTAAAGTAGGGTTCCTTTTGGTCAGCCAAAAAGATAATCAGCTCGCTTCCTGCAAAAGCAAGTAAGACGATGAATAGTAGAGGAGAATTGTAAGTGGTTTATATACAAAGCAACACAGTAGCAAAAACTGTGAAAGACTTCCCATACAACTTCCTCCTCCTTGTTCAAAAGGAAGCAGAAGGAGCATTTCTTCAATACAACCTACAAATCGAACTGCACCTCAAAGGGATGCTAGTACAAAGACTCTTCTTTGGGTCTCAGTGTTGACCTTGCTCTCTGCTATTGTTATCACGCCACTTAAAATAAAGCTTCCTATGATGAGTTAAGAAACATTACATGTGGAAAAGTAGTCTGCATCAGTTCCACGGAAATAATTAAAGCTTAAAAGCTAACTCAAACAAATTCTTTTAATATTGTCTCTGACATAGCAGGATCTGATATTGCTTCCCAAGTCGGCTGACAAAAACACTTTAAGTGAAACTCACAGAAGTAACCTGGTTCCATACAGCATTTCCTCATTTAGAGGCAATGATACAAGCCACTATCATTTAATTATTTCAGGAACATCTAAATAAATCCCCATGGTTTGTGTTGCACAAATAACTGCAATGCGAGGAAGCAAAAAAATATAATAAAAAATTATAATAAATTAACCTGAACGATGAAATGTATTTTGTCAGTAAACCACAATACACACACTTTTACTTCTACAAGTAAAATAATAGTTCACAGCTTAGGAAAAAAATACATTTTTTTTTAACTCATCCTTTATTATGTTTGTTTTCTGCATTCTCCAAGAGATTCACCCGTAGCATCCCAAACCACAAGAACAAGGTTACCTAATTGAATTCTGTGGTTCCAAACCTGAGCTACCGTGGTATATTTCAAGAGCACCATTCAGTGGCAAATTTCACAGCTGTGAAATAGCAGAATACGAGCTTCCTGGCTATGAAAGAAAAGATAACTGCCATAAACGTATTTGCCAAGGAGAATATGCCAACAAACAAGTAAATGAAAACAAACCCTTTCAAAATGGATAGGGGCAAGTAGTGCAGTCCCGTCTGGCAAGCTAATAAAGCCTGGGCTGCACTACACATTCACAGATGATTGAAAAAGTTGGCACACAGTCCGGTGAAGAAGCCTGCTGGCTGGTTAAACCTTTCATAATAAAGCTGTGGGTGACTGCTAAAACTTGTAATTCTGATTTCACACTATAGACTTTCACCTGCCTTTTTATCGTCTATGTGGTAAAGTAATGACGACGATAAAGCAGCAAATGTGTTTTTACACATACCAGGTTCCAAGTCAATTATACCACTCAGAAATGAGATTTTATGGTCGCTCAAGATAGATTTATGAAAATTTCAGCTCAGTGCTTGTCAATAGCCAAAACAAACTGACTACTGGAAATTATCAGACGAACAGAAAATAAAATCACTATGCCAGCACATCAATCCACAGTGCACACGTCCTAGATGCTGTTTGTAGTTCTTGTCCCCTCATCTCAAGAAGAATACGGAAAAAGGGAAAAAAAGCACATAGGAGGGTGAAAAAAGGGAACAGTTTCCATACAAACAATTACATAGATTAGAAGTCTTCAGTCCAAGCATCTGAGCGAGGATACCACCGAAGTTCTCAAAATTCCCCAGTGAAATGTAGAGAGTGAACGGGGGAACGATCACTCACCATGGTGTACTATTAGAAGAGGCATCAAACACAAGTAGAAGGTGGTTGGTTACACGGGCAAGCAGCAGGAGCTTCCCCACTTATCCCGGTTTTGCACATCCACTTAGACAACAGGTACATGTATGCACAATTCCATTTATTTGTATATTTTAGTCTCAGAAATTGACTGAACCCAGGGTCCATCAGTAATTTTGAATTGTTCTTGCAACAAGATACTTCTGGACGTAGCTTACCTCTTAGTAAGCATTTGGCTAGTTTACTCTCTTACCAAGCTCCGAGTACAAACTGATTTTTCTTTCCGGTATTGACCATATGAAACATAACTGACATTCAAATAAAGTAATTCAAGATCAGAACAGTAATACAAATCCAGCAAAAGGCCCAAGACATAATCTCGATTTCCTTACGAGGGTCAGGATTATTAGGGACTGGGCTTCTTTACCAGATCACTGTTCCTCAAAGCCTAGTATGATCTCCAACACTCACTTCTTCAGCACTACTTCGAACTGACCACTGTTTATTCTACTACTTGGCATGCTACTATTTAGAATTGGCTATTACTTTTTGCTTAGAAAGTACTCTGTGAATTTTTCAAGCTACTTTTTGTCAAGACTTCAACTATGAAAAATGTTTTCAACTATGTTATTTCTGGCTGATTTTCACACAGAATATCAAGTAAGAAAACTAGAGCAAGTGCTGCTGTACAGAAGCAAAAAGAAACCGTAAGTCTCGCTTCTAAAACTTTTAACTATTCACATTTTTATATGCACTCATCCGAAAAATAAGAAAGTAAAAAATAAATCTCTTCTCACTGACATTCATTTTAAATCTAATCTTGCAGGACATTTTTTCAGTAGAGGAGGCAGTGGAGCCCTTTGAAAAAGCCATGCATTCAAATATCTCAACTAGATGGGAAATTCACTCATGCTTTGCCAAAGCTACTTATAGAAACGATTCCAAGATTAAAGGAATAAAGAAGGTAAGTCTGAGAACAAATTTATTATCTTAATGTGTAGCTTCAAGTGAGTAAAATAATCCAAGATTACCATTTGCAAATAACACTGACCACTGATAACAAGCTCTGATTTGGTGTCTCCCCGTATGCGAAGCCCAAACAGAAACTCATGGCAGATGACAGCTGTATGGAACAAATTTATCTAGTCTTCCGCTTTAACGTAATGTTCAAGGTAGGATAATGAGCAATTTATGCTCTTTACA